CTGCATTATATGCATTATTTTACCATAAGCGCTATAAATGTCGTGTAACATGTCTATTTTGTACCATCCCAATTAATACTTTTATTTGAGAATCAGAGAATACACGAGACAAATAAGCAATTATTTATGATTGAACATGTCATGTTTCAAAAAAAAAAGTACATTTTTAATATATCTTTTTTGAACGTTTTCATTCATGCTCAATAATAGCACATCTAAAAGAATCCATCTAGAAAAAACGTTGTAAGATATATTGTGAAGCAAATAAAATTGTCGAAGTCAAAAATTACGCAGTAACCAATGGAACAAACTGTTGCAATAAACCAAATGTTTTTCAAAATGTTATTATTAACAGTAAATCCGTTCGATATTATAGCATGAAAATCAAAATTTTACTGCGGATGCATTTCCGCTACATAAATTAAAAACGTTAATTTAAAAAAAATATGAGAATGTCCCATAACAACAATAATAAACATCAACTTTATACGTAATATGCGTAAAAATTAAATATTGGTCAAATAAACATTTTTGCAATACGATAAATATGAAAAGAAACATAGGCCGGATTAATGTAAATTTGTAGATTCACGTGACCCGGCCGTCAGTTTTACGAAAATTCAAGATTATTTTTATGGTAAAATTTTATCACGTGACTTTACATAATAAACTTTATTATAATAGATTCGAAAAATGTGAATTTGTTACATATTTTTTTCGTGACCTTTTTGTCCGAAGCAAAAGCGGAGGACGTTTACGTTTTGTGCAAGGCCACTATAGATGCTATACACGTGATTAGTGTAACCGGGACTATTATAATCGGAGCATAGGGAAAAGTGTTGGTCGGTCACTATAGATGTTACACCGTGGCATTTGGGTTAGAGCGTAGCATAAGGGTCAGAACGTGACATTAGAGTTAGGATGTAGTATCAGGTTAGGGTTAGGGTTAGGGTTAGGTTAGGAAGTTCGGAAGGAAAGGTTTGTTAAGAAAGCAGGCCGCAGGTCACGTAGCCAATGGCTCGTTCCGATAAGTTGCGTGGAAATTAGGGTTAGTTCGTAGCATTAAAGTAAGACACCTACAAATAATAAAGAAAAAAAATATCTCATATTTATTATTCATCAAGAAACCATACTAAATTAAATGTAAATGTAACATTAAACTAAAATAAAAAATGTCAAGCTCGAAATTGGAACGTACAGCGTGACGCTCTCTTCGGACGCACAAACGGTCCCCGTTACATAATAATATACTTCACGCTAAAATCACGCTAACTTTAGTAGATTCATCATATTCATCTTCTGGTACTTTTCCAAATTGAAAGCAAATATCTTCAAATAAACAACTTGAATAATAAGAAACTTCCATGGGATTGCTACATGTTAATTTATCATCAACTTTTACATTTTCAAAAATTCTTCCTACATCATCTTTGCTATTCTCATCATTAAAATCTTCCATTTCTGTGCTTGAGTTTGCTAAAGCTTCAAAAAGATTCACCGCATATATCATATAACAATACATATAAAAAAATTTACATATAAAAAAAAAAAAAAATAAAAACCGGGTGACCGTGTCAATTTTAAAATTTTATGTCACGAGAATCGAAAATTTTTCTTTGCCTGGCCTTACATCAAATTTAAAATAATTAAATTTTGGTCGGACCGGTAGCATTTATTTTAAAAAAATAGAATACAACCAAATTAACAATTTACAAAAAATTGGTTTTGTATTTATTCAAATTAATTTATTTTTATTTATCAAATATTTCTTAAATATATCAATGGTCAAGAGTTTTAAATAAAATGTCATCAAGAAAAATGAAGAGTCATTGGCATTGTCATTTATCAGGATAATTTTTACGCTCGGTTTCTTAAGTTTATTTTAATATACTGTTGGCGCTCTGTACTTTCGAAATCCGTTTATTTAATATAATGGTTACAAAAACTTCCAACTAAATCTATATCAACCACCTTCTTCTTTCAAGCATTTTGTTGACAAAGGGCAATTGACTGGAGGAACATCGGCAAAGAATGAGAAATCATGTTTTGCCAGTAATTTTAATCAGTGGTATTGAAAACAATGTCTCAATTAATATAATTGAAAATCGAAGAAGATCATCGACGTTGAAATGAACAATTGTTGTATTCATATGTATTTATAAACAATTTGTAAAGTAAGCAGGAGGTCTTTAATGAATAATATTGAATAAAAATGAAGTAATTGTGACAAGTATTTATTTAATAATATCAAATTAATCAGTGTTGCTTCAACGTCGGCGCTCTACACTTTCGCTATATCAATATTTTAAATGCCAAATACTAAATTCTAATTAATTAAAACTACGCAATTACGAAACTGTTACATAAAAATTGAATAATAAAATACTAATAAAATCGGAAATTAAAAATAAAATAATAAACAGTGTTACAAATGCGAAATTAGAAAATTAAAAGGGCGAAAATCGAAATTATCGCGAAGGTGTAAAAGGAGGATTGCGAAGGGAATGTTTTCAAAGAAATATAATAAAGGCGAGCATGGATATTGGGCTGTTTTAGGATTTCCAGCTCGATATATATAAAAAAAAAATTTAATTAAGCCAGCCTGGCATTTTAACCATTTGTCATACTGAAACTGGTGCCGTGACAGCCTGGCAAATGATCGTCAAAGGGACTAACTATAATTATCAAGAACGATTTTCAAGCGAAGTTAATGAAGATTTTGGCCAGAATTACATTTAATCGTAATACAATCATAGAAATTAGAAATCAGCGAACTACTACTCAAATCGCATAAACTTGTGACCAGATCGTGATCAAACAACATATTTTTTAGTATAAATTCAATATAGTTAAAGTATAATATTAGACTAAACAATATACTGTAGATTGAAGTTCTTACGAACTATAAAAAGAATTAGTTATTTAATATAGTGAATATAACGAAATTTAAATTTGTAAAGAAATATAAAAATTTTTTGCTATTATTTAATCTGTAGCGAAGTTATTATAAATATTATACAAAATTGAAAAAATAAATGTACACTCCCCGGTCAAAAGTATTGGACCAAAAAAAAAGTTATCGCAACTTTTAAATTTATGAAAAATTTTAATTTTTTAATTATAAAAAAAATTAATAAGTGAACTTGGATATATTTTTTTTATTTTATTCATAAAAACATGAATTTTTTATTTATAAAATTAATATTTAGTTAGATTGCCATTACAGCTTGAATTCTTCTTGGCATACTTTCTACTAAATTTTCTAAAATTTCTGGTTCAATTTCATACCAAAATAACCATTAATTCATTAAGATTTTTTGGATGTGGCTTATGTTTACAAACTTTTCTTTCTAAAACATCACACAGATGCTCATTTGGATTAAGATCAGGTGACTGTGCAGGCCATAAAATATTAGTTATTTCATTTTCTTCTATCCATTCCTTAACTACTTTTGCCCAATGAACAGGAGCATTATCATC